AGGAACAGCACCACATTCATCGTCAAAAAGAAAGGGTATATTCAAGATATACCCAGAAGTACAATGCTATCAATGATAGGATAATACCCATATGCCTACTGCATTACCAGTGGCAGCAAATACTAGACTATAGGTAAATGCATAGACAGGTGAGAAGATTGGGTGGGGCAGGCGAACAGGAATATACCCAAAACCAAGGATAGATTTGGCTGTAGATGGTCTCATATAAGTACTTCATATATGTACTCATATGTCCACATACATTACAGAAGTAACAAAGGACAAGGTTGGAGTAACTTCTCAGAGCAAACCAAACACCTTGAGGGAGAGAATCACCAGGCCTGTGGGCTCAGGGCCATAGTCTCAGGAGACAACATGCTCAATTGGCACAATATACTACATTAAAGTCTTGTTCTACATCCTACTTTGATGAGTAACAACCAGGGTCTTAAAAGCAATCAAAGGGCAGCCATCTAAGATGCAACTATTGGTCTCCTCTCATCTGGAGCAAAGAAGAGTGAAGAAAATCAAAGTCATTTGGAAATAATTAGTACAAAGATATGATGGACCACGAGGACCTCAGCCTTTACAACCCTGAGACCAAAAGACCTAGGTCGTGCCTGGCTACCAATGCCAACCACTTACAAAGGGATCAAAATTGGAGATCTTGGAAAGAGTGGGAAGAAAAATATGGAACAAAATTCAAAAACCCAAAAATGACCAGTATTACTGGTTGGATAGAGACAGGTGGAACCCCTGAGACTATGGCCCCAGGTTATTTTTCAGGCCTAGAAATGGACTGACTCCACGAATTGGCTCTCAGCCCAACTGTATAAAGACCTACAAGCAGAATACCTACCCCAGGGAGAAGCACCCCTTAGATCACTCAGCCATGGGTTATCAGAGGGGAAGCAGTCACATAAGGAAAAGCAGGACACACAGGAATGAACAGGTAAGAAAGGCACAGGGAAGGAGTAGTCATAGGGAGGAGAGAAGAGGAGAGCTTTTTATGTCTGGGGATTGTAATCGGGGCCATTAAATCAATTGTGAATAAACTGTTGAGAGTAAAATGAATCTACTTTGTAAATGTGCACCCAAATCACAATTTAAAAAATATCGATCGATAGATATAGATAAGTATCTCCATATGCCTAGAAAACAACCAGCTAAAATGACTATCATTCAAATTTATGCACCAACCACTAAGTGCATCTTTAAGCTGAACTTGTATATATATCAGAACAGGTACATATGGTTCTTATTTACCCTTACTGCAAGGTAGAGCTCTGGTAGTGCAGTGGTTAAAGCATCTGACTGCTAACCAAAAGGTCAGCAGTTCAAACACACCAACCACTCCAGAGAAAAATGAGACAGTTTGCTTCAGTAAAGATTTACAGCCTTGGAAACATTATGGAGCAGTTCACTCTGTGAATTCATTATGAGTCAGAATCAGTTTGATGACAGTGTGTTAGTGCAGGAAATGGCTTGAAGCCTTTTCCATATTTAAAAGCTACAGCAAGGGAAGGTGATTATGATGAAGAACTTGTGAGTAGGGGTTGGTTCAATCATTTCAAAGGGAGGGTGTGGTGCAGTGAATTATTTGGTATGGCTTTTCTAGCCACAGTCTTTGTAATTCCCACCAGATTACTGGTGGCCATGCAAATATGGTGTGCGTAACTCTGATGTTGGGATTGGTTAGTTTTGTCACTCAGCCAGGCTTAAAATGAGCCTTCCTAGAGGCAAAAAGGGGATCTCACTGCCATCAAGAAAGAAGAGCTGGAGGTGAAAAAGTTAGACCTTGCATCCAAGATTCTTGCATTTGACCTCCTTGGCAGAGACACCCCAGCAGAAAGACAACCTGGCAGAGAAAGATGCCCCAGCAGAGAGAGACAATCACAGTAGAACCAAGGGGCACAAGACACAGCAGCAGGCTTACCTGGCCCACAGAGTGAGAAAGCTGAGTATGCCCTTGGGCAGGAGGCTTGCTGACAGAGTGGGGTGCACCTAGGTGTACCTACTGGCAGAACTAAAAGAGCTTTGTAACACTTGCCCAAGCAAGCCAGAGGCCAGGCCAAAAGGCCAAGGGCCAGAGAGGCATGCCTGAGGACACAGCAGAGGGGAGACTGTCCTGATCAAAGAATAGTATCCTGAGCACTTTCCTGAACCTGAATTGTAGCCTGTTACTGCCCTGTTGTTGTTGTTGTTATGTGCCCTCGAGTCGGACCAACTCATCGCGACCCCTCCTTGGGTTTCCTAGGCAGTATCACTACGGAAGTAGGATTGCCCAACCTACCTTCCGAGGAGTGGCTGGTGGGTTTGAACCGGCAGCCTTCTGGTTAGCAGTCAAGTGCCTTAGCCACTATGCTACCAGAGCTCCCAAAATAAACCCATAATCATGAGTTTTGTCTGGGAGTTCTGTGTGGCCACTGCAACAAATTATCAAACCCAGCACAGAAGTAGTGAATGCCATGGGAGGAACAGCTGGTGTCAGAATTGGTAAAAGGCTGGAGGGTGGCAGCATGTCTGGCCTCATAGTAATAAGCCTTGAGCTGCTGATGGTGATTCTGTTTTCCTCTTGTGAAGTTAAAGGAAGTCAGAAGATGCCACCTCCATGCCCTTTTTGCAGAGGGTAAATTTAAATAACATAAAAAGGGCAAGTATAAGTTGTCCAAATATATAAGGTGATATTCATAGCCCCAGGACTTACTGTGTTCTGAGTGAACGAGTCCCTGGGTGGTACAAATGCTTAAGCCCTGACTTCCAACCCACCCAGAGGCATCTTGGAAGAAAGTGATCTACTTCCTAAAATTCAAAAACCTTATGGAATGCAGTTCTATTCTGCACACACAGGGTCACCATGAGTCAACTTGACCCCAACAGACTAGTTTTTTGTTTGTTTGTTTGATTCTAAGTGATCGCCTTTTTCTTTTTGAGACACTGATGCACTCTTTTTGGGCTCTGGTTCAACTCAACCTCTCTCCAAAGTCAGACTGTATTTTCACTCTCCCTTTTATCTCTTTTGAACCATGGATTCACACCTACTCTAAACTCCACCCAGATTTCCCATTAAGATAATCCCTTTCAAGGATTCATAACACTTACTTGTATTTTTAAAGTTAACCCTAACCAACTCCAGGGAAAGCCTGCTGGTGAGCTCCTACAGAAATATTTATTTAGAACAGTCATTCTCGAACTTTAGCAGGCACAGAATCACCTGGTAAGTATGTTAAAAAAAAAAAAAAAAACCTGGGCCCCATGGCAGAGTTTCTCATTCTTTAGGTGAAGCCCCATAGTTTGCTTGTCTAACAAGTTCCCATGTGAGGTTGCTTTTTGGAACCACTGACTTAGTCCTAAGGTTCGCAACAAGATCCATTTCTGTGTCTTTAAGAATTTGTAGTTAAGTCAGAACAGATACACACAGTTCTTATTCAACCTTACTTTAGTGCAAGAAAGGCTCAAAGCCTTTTCAATGATTTTAAAACTGTACAGACAGCAAGGAAAGGTGATTGTGATAAAGAAATTTATTGTTAGCAGAGGTTGTGTCAACTGTTTCGAAGTGAGGGTGAATTTACATTGAATTAAAACAAGGCTCCAAAGATAGCAGCACCCTGCTCAAAGATGGTGGCTGATGACACCCCACTTTGAAAGTGTGTGGCTATCCACAGTTCGGCCAATAATCCAATCTCAATTTTATGCATCAGGCTCCAGGTACGGCTCACTATGCCTCTTCCGAATCTCCCATTCCAGGGCTTTCAGCCATTCATTTTTCCCATTCCAGAATAACCCAAATTGTAAAAATTCCAATCCATTCCTATTTTGCTTCATCTGCCATAACAGAACCTGTTGAAAGCACAGCAAGTAGCAGTTGTCCCTAAATAGGCCTTTCCCAACCAGAGGACTACCTGTATCACTCTTTATTTTAAGGACTACTCCAACCTCAAAAAGCTGTCACTACATCCTGGAGCTCTGGTGGCATAGTGCCTAATGCATTTGACTGCTAATCAGAAGGCTGGCAGTTCAAATCCACCAGCCACTCCTCCAAAGGACGGTTGGGCAATCTACTTCTGTAGTGATACCGCCTCAGAAACCCAAGGAGGGGTCACTATGAGTCCAATCAGAGGAAGGCAGTGATTCTGGTTTTTTTGGTTATATCCTGGGGGCAGACTTTAATTCATGCTTTTCTTTTAGGGAGAGGTTTACAATTCATTCTTAAAGGTGAAAACGGAGAAATAAACTAGAATTTGAGATTATTAAAATTGTGAAATGTCCAGGATAGGGCTGGAACTTTAAGTCTTTTGGACCAGGTAAAAGCTAGTTAGGAAGAATAGTGGCTAGAGGATAAAAGAAGTTCTTACACACTCTAGTATTTATAAGAAATTCTGTATTGCTCAATGTGTTTGTTAAAAAGCAGCTACCACCATAAAAACTGCCTATTGTTCCCGACACTCTCCCGACAGCATTTCCCAGCACTCCAACAAAACTGCCAATTGGTGTCAAACAGTCCTGCCAACTCCACAGAAGCAGGCAATGGGCAGGGTTTCCCAGAGCAACACCTAAAAAGGGTTGGGTCTGGAGAAAAAGCTGAACTCAGATTTGAATTTTAAGTGTATTTTACCACCTGCATTCCCAGGTCAACGCACTTAAAGAAAAAAAAAAAAAATCACACTCTGAAAACACTAGTAAAGGTTGCAACTTACAAAAGCTTCTTTCTGCGGACCAAGCCGGCGGAACTGGACTAAGGAAGGAAGACAAAACAAAAAGATGCAAAGCTAGCCAACAGGTGCGCGAGTTCTTCAGCAAAGATCCTAGGGGGCCAAAGTGGGGACAGCGCGCTGGTGAAACTAAACCTTGGGGCCGAGGACAGGCCGCGGAAAGGGTCAGGGTCCCAAGCCCCAGTAGGGGTGAATGAAGATCAGGGGTGCCGACGGGAGAGAGCCCGGCGAACCCGCAGAGGGTGCCGGTTTCCCGGGGGGAGGGGGTGCCGAAAGTCTGCTGCTCACCTGGTTGAGCTCATTCTCAGCTGCAATTCGCAGCTTCGGGTCGATAGTACCTTTCAGCGCCTGGATGATCCGGTTGAGGTCCATCTCCCTCGGTGGGGGCTTCGCGGCCCCCGGATCAGTAGGCCAGACAGCAGCTTTAGTTTTCCTTTTGACTCTCTCAGCCTCCTCCTCCGGAACCCCTGCACTACCTCACTCCCCACTCCCCGCCACCGTCGCCACCTGCAGCCACTTGCTGCGCCACTCTGACTCCGCAGCCCCTAACCTCCCTCTTTCCCCCCCACAACTCGCTCTCCATTCACCCTTTTACGACAGCCGGTGGGAGGCGGGAGAAGAAGAGGAAGCGACTCTTCCTTTACGGCAACCTTTTCCCCCTGGCGTACTGTAACCGGCTCCCTCTGGTGGCCGCCATGCTGCAGCACGGAAACTAGTCTAGATTTCTTCCACGGAGAGGAAACAGAGGTGACTAGTTCAGTTGGTAGCCGCCATGCTGGTGTACGGTAAACAGCCTCCCGCCTCTTCCCCCCATGCGGACACTCCGGTGGCTCGGTGGCTCGGTGGCTCGGTGGCTCTTTACAGCATATCTGTATGGAATAGCACTTCTTGGTTAATCAGGGAACTGTTTGGGCACAACTGAGGTTTATCCTCAGATCCTGTTCCAGGGTTAAGCATATCTGGATGGAATAGCACTTCTTGGTTAATCAGGGAACTGTTTGGGCACAACTGAGGTTTATCCTCAGATCCTGTTCCAGGGAAGACTTGATGGAACCTTGAGATCATAGAGCCCACAAGAAATCAGGGTTCACTCAATTTATGGGAACTATCATTCATTATTTTCACGGAACATTATTTTTTTTAAATAAACATTTATTTTTGAACCCGTGTACTGAGATATTAGGTATCACATTATAACAAGGTAATAGCAAAATTAATTCGTGCAGGTTAATATGAAGGAATTCACAATCTGGTAAAAGAAACCAAAGAAAACCGGTAGAATATATTTAGAGTAACTGAAAACAGAGGTCAGAGAAACTATGTCTGAGGGTTTCTGAAAATTTCCGGGCCTGTTCGGAAAAGTAGTGAATGGTAGGAAGGGTTATACTCTTTCCATCTGCTATGTCAAACGCGCCAGCCACTCATAGGAAGAAAGATGGGGCAATCTACTTTCGTAGTGATACTGCCTCGGCAACCCAAGGAGGGGTCGCTATGAGTCGGGTCCGACTCGAGGCACATAACAACAACATGGTCCATCTACTGTGGTCACCTGGGAGCTCTGGTGGCATAGTGCCTAAGGCATTTGACTGCTAACCGGAAGGCTGGTGGTTCAAATCCACCAGCCACTCCTCGGAAGGAAGATTGGGCAATCCAATCCAATTGGGTCGCTGTGAGTCAAATTGACTAGATGGGGGGGGTGGGTTGGTGTCTATCTGGTCCTACAATTCCAATGTCATAAAAATATTAAAAAGCTAATTTTCTCTGAAATTAACACAGAAGAGAGTTTTGTATACATTTAGTAAGGAAGATGACTGTGAGCAAAATACAACTGAAGGGATGTGATCTTTCCAGAAGCAGATAATCAAGATATATTGGTTCAATTAGCTGGTTTCAACCAAGAGGCAGAACCTTGGCTGCCTAAAGCTAACCCCTCTGCATAGGCTATAAGTGGAACAACAGTCCTCAGCTAGGTGTGAAAGCGCTTGGCCATGAATTTAACAAGTCTCTGATTGCTTCCAGTATTGCCCTTCTTTAAGTGATTTTCCACACTATCAGAGTGTTTCTCAAACTGTTAAGACTGTCCCTTCCTTGATTGTTTTCCATCAATTTCAAGGTAAAATGCAACTCCCTTAGCATTCCAGGGTCTTCTGAAACCTAGTACCTTTCACCACCACACTATCTTATCCACACACTCTTGGAACTCATGATTGTCTAAATTCCTTTACCTCTTAAACCTTAACTCCAATATCCTCTTTTCTCCCTTAGTAATTCTATACCTATTCTTCAACTGAATCACTACTACAGCTGTCCATTCCTTCCTGATTACACATCCTTCTCTGCTATTAAACCCCAATTCAACTTTTCAAGTCTACCCCTTGACCTACTATGCAAACTGACACCATTACATGGTGTGGGTTTTTTTGCTTGTTTGTTTTTTTGACCCATCTTTCATCCTATCGGTGACTATTCCAAAACTCAAACACTTCTGAAGCTCCCTACCTCCTTCTCACAGAGCCCTCCAAAGATAAGCAAATTCATCAGGCTCACTCAATTACAAATTAATGTCTGCTTACCCCTCTTTACTTCCTCCTGTTCAGTCTGAACCTAAACTCTTTTCCCACCTCCTCCAAGACTTTGCTTATAAACCTCTCTCTCTTTTATATATTTTTTCATTAAAATAAATTTGGGGTATTTATTGTTAGCAATGTGTAAATATTTTTCCTGGTTTTTTCAGCCTCCTCTTCATTGATTGCACCTTAGTCTGAAAACATTTCCCTATCTAAAAAAAAAAAAAAAAAAAAAATCTTATACTAATTATTGCTTGTTCTTCAGTTTTCATTCCAAACAATAAAGTCTTCATTCATGGTCTCCACTTCTTTACCTCCTATTTATGCTTCAAACAGCTATGACCAGGATTCTGTCCTTTTCCCCCCACTGAAACTGCTGAGCAAAGATCAACACTGATCCCTTAGCTACCAAATACAAGAGATATTTTAGTTATCATCTTAAATTCTCCCTCTCTGGCATCTGACACTGTATTACATGTTTGAGGTTGTTTTTTGTTTCTTTTTCAGTATCTCCTCTTGTTTTCTCTTACAGACTATATTACTACCCTTTTGATTACTCAGTCATCCAATCCTTAAACATTGGTTCTTCTCAGGACTCTGTCGTGAACTCTTTTCTCTTTCTCCTCCACCTACTCTGCTTGAGTCATTTCATCCACTGATTAAACTTTAACCACCAACTCAACACAGACAATTCACAAAACTGGTTCTACCAACACATCCTTCCTTAGACAAGATCCATGTATCCAAATGTCTACTACATTTCTAACTGGAAATACCCTAAACCCTTTAAGGTACATGTCTAAAATTGAACTCTGATAGCACTAAAGAAGATGCTTTGGAGTAGGGAGAGACTTGATGTAGTTACTCCAATAATATAAAAGGAGAGGAGAGATTTGGAAAAGAAAAAATGACACCACCAAATGCTGGCAAGGATATGGAGAAAGGTGATCATGTATTGCTGGTGGGCAGCTAAAATGGTGTACAATCACTGCGAAAGGGTGTGGAGGTGGCATCCTCCAAACTCCTCTACCTTCATAAGGGGGAAGAGGATCCAGAACAACAACAACACAGGGCTAGTTCCTATGTGGCAGAGGACAGACAAGCCACCACTTTGCAACCTTTTTACCACTTCTGACACCAACCATCCTTCCTATGCCATTCTCTCCTTCTCTGCTTGGTTCAGTAATTCATTGCAATGGCCACACAGAACTCAGAGGCAATACTCATGATCATGGGGTTTATTAGGGAAACAACAGTTTACGATTCAGGTTCAGGAGTGCTCAGGATACAATTCTTTGATCAGGATAACCTCCTCTCAACCATTCCTGAAGGCATACCTTCCTTCCTCTGGCCCTCGGTCTCTTGGCCTGGCCTCTGCCCTGCTTAGCATTTTTAGCTCTGCCAATGGGTGGTATACTCCACTCCACCAGCAAGCATTCTGCTTTCTGAAGGCACTCAGCTTTCTTGCTCCATGGGCTGGGAAGGCTGCCACACTGTTGCACACCAGTCTCCTGGTTCTGCTGCCGTGCTTTCTCTGCCAAGGAGGTCCAGAGCAAACTCTAGTAATGTATTCCACCTTGGCTTTTCTTTCTTGATGGTAGTGATATTTCCCCTTTTCCACTTCTGGGGTGTCCATTTTAAGGCTTGTGAGATGGCAAAACTAATCAGTTCTCATACTAAGTTTCCTTACACTTTATTTCCATAGTCCCATCCCCACAAGGATGCCATGTACCTTATTTACAAGCTATCCAATTCCTTATTGGGCCACAGGCACCTTACATTTTTATAGTTCCACCAGTCATCTAGTGGAGCCACAAAGATCATGGCTAGAAGAGCCATACTAAGTAATTCACTGTACCACAGCCACTCTGAAAAAGTTTGGCAGTTTTTTGTTTAAAAAAACTAAACATGTAAATATCATATAACTGAGCAAATGCACTCCTGGACATTTATTCCAGAGAAATGAAGAGTCTGTTCATACAAAATCATGTATACAGGTGTTCACAGCAGCTTTATTCCTTTCTAATAGCAAAAACTGGTAACAACCCAGATGCCCTTCAATGAGTGAACAGTTAAATAAACTGGGATACACCTATACCATGGACTACTACTGGACAATATAGAAGAATGAACTACTGATACACAAAACAATCTGAATAAATCTTGAGAATTATGCTGAGCAGGGGGTGGGGGAGGAACAATCCCAAAATATTACATACTGTGTGATTCCTTCTATGTAACATTCTTGAAGTAACAAAATTACAGAAAATGAGAATAGATAAATGGTAGCTAGGGGTTAAAGTGGAGAGCAGGAGAAAGTGGGTGGGCTGTAAAAGGGCTGCATGGAGGTTTCTTGTGGTGATGGTCATACATCAATATTCTGGTTGTAATACTGTTTATAGTTTTGCAAGATGTTGCCATTGAGGGAAAATGGGTATGGATTAAATGGGATTTACCTCTATTATTTCTTACAACTGTATGTGAACCTACAATTATCCTCAAAATACAAAAACTCACTAAAATAATTAAAAAGAGCTCATATTCCCATGGAAACTTTGTATGCTTTGGGAAGACTCAGTAAAGACAAGTTACTAAAAAAAAAAAAAAAAAACTGTCAAATTAGGGGCAGCTGAGACAATAAGAAAAAATTAGGAAAGAATCATAAGCATCTGATTCTGCTCTCACATTTCTTTGCAAATGTTTTAAAATGACTTGTCCTAAACTATAATTTAACCTTTATGTACTTCCATTGTTGTTTAGTCCCCTTTTTCTAAAAATTAATACTTTGTATAAGAGGATTTCTACTATATTTAGGGATATCCTCACCAAAGTTCAGGTAGAATTTGAGTCAGCTATGTTGTCTTTCTGTAATATCATGGTTTGCATATGCCTCACCTCTCTGCGCCTCATTTTCCTCATGTGCTTCCAAGAGCTGTTCTGAGGACTAAATATATTAGTACCACTACCCAT